GTCTCACAGCAGGACAAAAAACAAAACCTTTCAAGGGATGGATGAGCTTCTTATAGGAGCCAATGGCCTATATATATATATATATATATATATATATTTATATAAAGCCAGGATGGAGTCTTAAGCCTTGAATGGCAACCTTCCTAGAAATGGTGTCTCAATAAAAACACTCAATGTACTTGGACTTATAAAAGCTTGCCTCAAATCATTATGACAAGAGATTCTCTGGCAAGCAGAAGTCACCTTGTTTTCTGCAAGATTAATTCAGGTCCTGCCTAAAAAACAAAAAAAACAGCTATGATGAAGAAAGTTAACAAATGTTATTCCATATTGTGTTCTAGATTTTTTTAAAACTCTACTGTTTATCTAATACAAGGTCCAAGAACCACTCAAGATAGAGAGAATTGCTTAATTGTTGCAAGGACATAAAGTGAGGCAAAGGAGGTGCATATTATGAGGATATGTAGGATAAATAACAGTTGATCATAGATTTGAAAAGGTTAAAATTATAGTGGCCAAGGAAGCAACCTCTCAGAAGTCTATTTCACAAATTGTCAGTCCTGATAATGGAACAGCCTAAGTGGGATGTTTTAATGGCATGTATGTGGCACACTGGGTCCTAAGTGTGAAGGTCTGAACTGGTGAATATAATCTTTATATTTAAAATAATGTGCGTATATATATATATATATATATATATATATATATATATTAATTACATTCCCATCATCAATCACTTATGAAATTTTAGTCTAATTTCTATGTTGACCGATTCATTTTCTACAGCTTATCAACCCTTTGCAGGTTATTTAAACCCAGAAAATATTTTAGACTGTAAGATGATTTTTTAGAGATAATAATGATTTTCATAGCTGGGAGAAGAAGTTTTGGATCCATACCTTTCCCAAGATTATTTGCACATAATTCAGCTGGAATTAACAATCCAGAGCCATTATCCATTGCACCAACTGAATATCCAAGCTTACAGCACCTGGTATTCCTACATAGTCACCCATCTAAGTAATGATCAAGGTCAACATTGCTTAACTTTGGTGATTGGATGGAAACTAGTGTTTCAGTTAGCATCATTCTCAGTAAAGATTCAGCTAAAATGTATATAGTATTTACACAAGTAGAGTTAATAGAAAATTTGATTTTTTTCACTATTAAAGTCTTGAAATAGATATACATGTACTAACCATATTACAGGACATGTATATCAAGCACTAAACAAGCAAACAAAACTGTATGTGAAATCCTTCATATGAAGTTTAATTCACCTGCCTTGTTACCTGAACGTAATTTTATGAAATAGATTATATGGGGTATCAAATGACAAAATTGAAAAAAGAAAAGCAAACTGCCTAAGAAATCCTCCCCACCCCCACAGACACCAGTAGGAGAGGAATGGTGAGAAATACAACAAATGCTATTATAAATTTGCCCAAAAATGTGCTAAAGATTTGAATTTAAAAAATTTTGACATCTGCTGTATCTTGATGCATGAGCTAGATGGCCTCATTCTATTGCTCCAGTCTTTACTGCTATTGTTTTTAAATAATTCGCATTGTATCAACATTTAAAAGAATAATTTAAAAACAATAGGAATAAAAATAAAAACAACTGTGACAAAAACATAATAAAATAAATGTGGGATCAGGGTTGCAGGTTGGAGAACAATTCATTACTGACAAGGGCCACATAAGCGCTTTTAAGAGGACTGGGCAGTACCAGTCCAGATATGGTAGCAATACTCAATTCATGGTCTAATCTGGCTCTTGTAAGAACATGGCAACAGGAGTTAGGTATTTTCTGGAGTGATAAGAAGAACTGACCATTGATGCAGCTTCTTTTACAATGGCATAAATATATATGGTTCCATTTGAGATCAAGTGTGAGCTTTAGACCTAAAAGATGTTCAAGGCAAAATATGACCACATGTCAGGATTGGTACAGGTCCAGAGCCTGCTTGATGGTAATGAAATGTTACGAGTTTAGTTTTGGATGCATTGATTATCAACCAGTTCTTTCCCCATTGACCTGTGAGTGTGTTGTGGTAATTTTCTAAGCATAACTCAGATGTGGCACAAGACCTTAGTACTCAGTTATAATTATTCTAGCAAGACAAGCCTGCTTACCATTACACCATGTTGGGATACCCCCTGTGAGTGTGTTATACAGTGGATACACTTAACATCAAAGTTTTTAAATTCAAGGCTGAGCATTCCTGTAGCTTCTAACTGGTGTTTGTTGTATTTCTTTCCATATATATATATATATATATATATATATATATATATATATATATATACGATTCCAATGGAATAAATTATGACCATGGCATATTAGTGTTTAAGCATTTATATTATATTATATTATATATATATATATATATATATATATATATATATATATGTATGCAAAGTATAGTTTTCATAATCACGAGCCATAACCCATTAGGGGTCATAAGAGCATCAAATGTACTGCAGATACAATAGCAATGGTGCTTCCTGGACAAGATAAACTTTCATAACCCAACTCTCACCAGGCTGGTTTTTGAATTCAGAATTTTTCCTTTTCCTAAATTGTTGCCACCCAAGGCTATAGGACCCTACCTGCTCTGTTATTTGCAAAAAGGCTGGGAAGAGAAGAAAAGGATTTCTACCTTTTCCAAGTCTAGCAGCATATAAGTGAATATAAAGACCTCAACTAGAATTTAAACTAAGCTCTCAGATTCCTGAATCCAAGCTGTTATCCATCACTCCATAATTCTAAGGCATGCTGTATTTATCAGTAAATATTAGAGTGGACACAGAAGTCAATGTCAAGTGGCGACGGTGTTTGATGCTTGAACACAATTACAAAGACAAACATATTGTAACTGTGATAAAATCTCCATTTCATTGTGATGGTGATTTTTAAAAAAAACACACATGAATGTGTTCTGTTATAATTATTTAAAAATGTTAAATTTATCCATTGTAACCTACAGGGAATTCCAAACTGAATCCTTTATTTAATCTACAGGGATAGACTTCTCTCATACCACAGCCCATGTTCAGGGACATCTCAACTAGTTCTTATTTTTAGTAATTCTCAGTTATTGCTCGCCCTGTTTCCACTGAGTCCACATACACAGTGCCCAGCACAGGGATTGAACTCACAATAACTATATCGATAAATTCACAAACCAATCCACTAGGCTATTATTCAGTCGGACAATTCTCTGTGGCGAATTTGGAGTCTTAAACCTAACTTGCCTGCTTACTGATGAGTGCTACTTGACTGCACTCACTGAAGTAATAAGGTTATCATATTTTGGAGAAAGAAAAATGTGTGTGCAAAGATAGGGTTAGTAACAATTATGACATGCATACAATGACAATAGCAAAAATAAATTCATAATAAATTTGGTTATTAGAAATTATTATCAGCAATAAGATCAATATGTACAATAGACGCTTAGTAGATGGAAAGTTTCTTCAGTTTATCATTATCATAAAAATAACAAATATTTACATTGTTTAGAAAATTCAAATCTCTTTCAAAAGAATTTTTATCAGAAGTTTTATAACAAGATTTCAATACAATCACATCATCACATAAGTAGTGTCTGAAATCTGATCAAAGACTGAATGCCTAGACAAAACAACACGTGCTATTAGGTTATTCAGAAAATAATGTCCAATTTTAGAATCATCATTTATTCCTGAATTAATATATTTAAACTGTTTAAATGAGTCAAAATAAAAATCCTGTACATTTATACATTTCTGCCATTGAGTTACAAGGTTGCTTATACGTTCATGATAAAACTAAATATTTAGAAGCCAAGAAATTTTTTAATACAATTTCTATATCTTCTTTGAAATGGAATGACTTTTGGCTTAAAATATTGCAAAGATGCTCGAAAAAGTGGTAGTCAGTTGACTAGAGATCAGACAAATATGGTGGATGTGGCACTGTCTTATATCCAAAGTCTGCAGTGTTATCTTGGAAACATATGTCCAAGAATTATCATTGGCAGAACTGGACCTCAGTGATTAACCAGTGCCAGTTGCATTTTGCTTAACTGAAGGTACATTTCATCCAGTTGCTGGTAGTAAGCTTCAGCAGTGATGCTCTGGTTGGATTCCAGAAAGCTGTAATGTAATTTCTGTTTTGGAAAGTGTTTGGGTGCTTCCTCATGATGAAGCCATTGAGCCAATTATTTACAATTGTCATAAAGGATCCTTTTCTAATGAAGTCACTGTTCAATCAGAAAATCAATCATTTGAGTTTTGCAGATGCAACATTGAACATACTCTACTACTTGTAATGGCATTCACCTGGGGTGGGTTGAGCCGGCTCTAATATTGGAGTTTCATGGGAATTTGGAATTCACAAGCGGTCCCCAAACCTGCATGTATAGGCTTCAGATCAGTTCCCAGGAAACCAACAGCCCGACAACAGCACATAAGATTTGATTATAGTGGTGAAGGTTTCGTGCAGGACCATCCACACTTTTTGAAGGGCCAATTACAGAGACATGGTGCACTATGTGCCACAAGGTCCCCAAACGCAGGTTTTGGATTCAGAGTTGTCCTTCTCCTAGACCAGTTGCCATCCAAGGCTATAGAACCCAGTCTATCCTGCTATTTACTTATAGCTGGAGGGAGAAGAAGAGGATTCACACCTTTCCCAAGGGTGTTAGCATGTAAGTGAATGTAATGGATTTGACTGGAATTCGAACTCAGCTCTCCAATTCCTCAATCCAAGCTGCTATCCATTACTCCACCGTGCCTTCTCAACATTGAACATACTTCAAAATGTGTTTCACAGATTTCATATGGAACCCATTTATCAAGTTTCTTCACTATGCCAAGTTTTGGGAGATAGTGCTGAAATACTGACACCTATTATATGTAAGATATTTCTCAGACAGGGTTTGTTTGACTAGTGTTTTCAGATGTTGATTGTCTATTGCAGAAACACATCTTCTAGTGTCTTGATCTTGAAGACTTGTATAGCGACTGTGAAACTTCAGAAACCAGTGCTGTACAGTCTAATCATAAGTGGATATTTCATCTAATGCTGTGTTAGTAATGGCAATAGTTTAAGAAATATTCTGGCCTGGTTTAATAAAAGTAAACTAACTAGCAATAAAAGGAAATGCATTTCTTCTTTTTTGTTCATGTTCAAGATGAGAGGTATACAATGTTTTAAGTTAAATTCTGAAAGAGATTGGTAGAAAATTAATGAAGGGGATACTCTAATAATTAGAAATGAGTAATATATTTTTGTGCAACTATCATGATAATATATTGGAACACAAAAGGTTTAATTCTAAAATTGGACATTATTCTCCTAACAAGCTAATAGTATTTGAATAGTTTTAAAAGTTACATTGGTACATTATGACTTTGGCACATGATGACCCTCTTAAAAGATGGATGTATCTATGGAACATGTAAAACTTGTAATTATTTGAGTTTAGAAAACACAATAATGTTGCAAAAACAACCCAATATTATTTATAATTTCAATGGAATAGATTCTTTAAATTCAAGAAGCTATTCAAAATGGTTTGAAAGGTTTTAAAAAAATCACTTCAGTTTAAGAAATGATTAAATAAGGAACAAGTAGGAAGATCTTTATAAATTTGACATGTTTTGCTTCATCAGGAATTTTGGAAGTTGAATAACATGGAGTTGTTGATGCCACATGTTTATTTGATGATTACCATCAAATAAACATGTGGCATCAACAACTCCATGTTATTCAACTTCCAAAAATTAAAAGTAACCTCTTGTGTCTTAGTGGCTTTATTGCCTTGCTTGGTATGAAATAATTAAGAAACAAAATAAAAGGTAGTATGTATGTATGTATGTATATATCAATTTTTTGTATGGTTGTCACATGTATAGCTCAAGGTGTGTGTTTAATGCTAGAAATGTTAGTATAATCTAAGTGTGTATTGAAAATTACTAGTGTTTCTAATTGCATGACAAATATGATTAATGTTACAAGGTTATATCATCCATAAACATTTACATCTTACACATAAGTAATAAGAAATTATTTATTAATATTTCTTCTATATATTTTCATCATGATAGGTTGTGCTTATTTTTTTCTTTTTACATAAGTAGCATTCTTAAATTAAAACTATGAACTATTTTTAAGTCTATGTGATACTAAAGAATTTAATGTTATCCCAGTAGAGATCTCTTGTGTGTTCATAAAAGTGTGTCTTCAGATTTTTAGATGCCTTACTCAACCTGCTTTTGTCTGAGCTCAAAAGAAGTTGTGCCAAAGAATTCAGACTTCAATTTACAAAACAGTTCACAGTCATCTGCAACAACTTCCCTATATGAGAAAAGCACTCTGAACTTTTGTGATGGCATTTCACCATTTTGGACAGATTAGTAACCAGTAATTAAAATGGATATTTTACAAGATTATAAAGCATTGCAAACTAAAAAAAAAAAAAGGCTAAAGAACAATGTAGAATGGACTACTATCCATGAAAGTTTTTGGTGTTTGATACTATTGTGTTTTGAATTGCTTCAAGTCTTTGTTATGATTATAGAAGATGTCTATTGTCAGTGATTAGAAAAAAAGAAAAGAAAGCCATAAAGAGTGGCCAGGTACTATACAATGAAGATTAAATGGAAGGAAAAAAAAAAAGGAAAACCTGGGAAAAAGTTCAAAACTCATTATTTGTTAGACCTTGTTTAAGTGAATGATTTGTACAGGTTAAAAATTCAATTTGCATCAATGTACATGTGCAGTAATTCCAGCAGACTACTGTTTGCTACTCAAATATAGACGCTTATATACATACTCAAGATGTTAACTAATAGTCAGATCAAAATTTGAAAGAGCTCTCTATGAAAAAGAGCTAGAAATATGGTTTGGGCTTTTCACTTATTTCCAGCAAAGAATGCAAGCAATCTGTGAAAATTTCATTAAGCAAGGTAAGCTAGCATTTACGTTGTTACACTAGTTCCTTCTGATTACCATATATTCCAGAATTTTACGATCACATATTCCATAACCTGTTAGGGTCATAGGAGCACCACATCTACTGCAGCCATAGTAGCTGTGGTAGTTCATGAGCAAGACAGACTGATGGAGCTCAACATTCTCCAGGCTGGCCTGAATTCAGTTTTCCTTCTCCTAGACTTGTTGCCAATCAAGGCTATAGGGCCCAATCTGTCCAGTTATTTACCCATAACTAGGAGCAAGAGATGAATTCATGCTTTACCCAAGGGTATTAGCATTCAAATGAATGCAATGCACATGGCTGGAATTCAAACTTGGCTCTCCGATTCCTCAGTCCGAGCTGCTATCCATTATTCCACAGTGCTTCCAGAATTTACAGAGCTGTATTTATGGAACAATTCTTAGAACACACAAAGAGGTAAAATCTACTATCTATATTCATTTCCTCCAAATTTAAAAAATCTTTTTACAAAATGGCCTCTGTGAATCATCGGAAGTAGGTTAGTGATAATGATGAAATTTATTTTAATGAATAAATTTTAAAGTGAATGCTGGGATGAACTGGTATTACAGATTCTTTTGGATCAGTTCAGACTTACAATCAAGTCCCAATGAAAGCATTAATTCATTCAAGATCAACATTAATATGCCCGAAAATTACTCACTTGAGTAACCATGCTCAGAGACAGTATGTAAGCTACATAAGTCCTCTGTAGTACACTAAGTAAAGCTTAGTAAAATAACTACTTTTGGACCAGTTTGTCTTTGCTGTATATCATGTTTCAGTCATGTTTATATCTATGCTCAACTTACACAATCCAATCAGTAGACTAAGCAGAGGTATAAGCACCATATGGAAGTTAATAATTAGGAAAGAACAAAAATTAGATTTGAGACTTCCAAAAATTTGTTTAATAAATCTGGGAAATGCATAAACAGCTACTAAGATAAGTGCACATAAAATTGTAAAATAAAAGAAAAGGCTTATTGTCAACATTAATTCATCAAAATACAAAAAAGCTTCAAATTTCAAAAGTTAAAAATTTGTACAAGAATTTTTCTTTTTTGCTATAATGAAAAACATTAATTAGTCAATAACGTTTCACAATACTTACAATCTTCTTCTGTGGAAGATTCCTCGCATTCAGAGACACCATTCTCAATCACGATAGTTTCAATTGCTGGTGGAGTTTCTTGAGTGTGCCGCAGATGTTTCAAAAAATTCTTCTTAAAACGACCTTCAACATTTTCAGTTTTTGGACTACCTTCTTTACTACTTGTTCCATTTTGCTTTATTTCCTGCAAGGATAAAAAAAAACCTCAGATTTAAATCTACAATTTATAAGACCAACGCTGAATAGTGACCCTGCAATCACTTGTTTCATTTGTTCTCTTTTATTTATATATTTTGGTTTCAATCCATAGGAATGACTTCAAAAACATACTCACCCCAAATTTACAGACAAATCACACAGATGCATGCTAAAATTTCTTCCTAACCAACAAAATGAATCACTTCTTGGTCAAATCAGCCATATTTTGTTTTTTTCTAGTCTTGAAGTCAGAATACTAAAATCACTTGAGTGTATCCCTTTTACAGGTTAATTTCTTTATTAATTTGTGAATCCAGGGATTGAACTCCCAATTACCAATTTAGAAAGGTGAAAAACCATAACAATGTCATACAATCAAAACCTCACAGAAAAAAATATCTTAGTCTCAAAAAATATTGAGTTGCATTTCAACCCCTGATCAGATGACTTATGATGCCCACAGAAATAGAACATATACCAATATTCATACAACCATTACAAAGTCTGTCCCCAAACATAGACAATAATGAACCTAATGATGAGGAAATTAAGAAAGCTATTAAAAAAAAACTAATGAAAAATAAAGCATCACTTGACATTGAAGTTGAACTTTTGAAAATAGTTTATTTTCTCCCTGAATTTGAGAACAAGTTTCTCTATTTTATGAAAAAAAGTCTGGAATCAGAAATGCACCCACCAAAAATGGGGTCTATCACACATTAATGCATTATAGAAAGGTCACCCTCAAGACCCTCACACAAACAGACATCTCAATTGGATGCACCATGGTGAAGTATTAATGAACATTAAGTAGGCTCTCATTGTTTTATGAAAGTCAACCCAGTTTGTTTTTCATTTTGGTAAGGGATGCAACAGTGGCATATATTTCATCAAACAACTCCAAGAAACTGCTTACCTCTGTAATAGAAAACTGTATACCTGCATTGTCAACGTCCCAGTAGCATATGATCACATCAATAGAGACATCATCTTCTCATCCATTAGAAACTGCCTTCCAAGGTCTGAATCTCCTGAATGCATCAATTTAATTAAGAAAATATCAATCTACAGAATCTTATATGTCTGGCAAGGACCCCAATATGGAAACATTTTAGACGATAAAAACTGCTTGTGAAACCACAATATCTGGTTCTCTGTCTCTGTGTATAAAATTGGAGCAGAAATGGATGAAAAAGAAAATTCCTCATCTAAAAAATTAATTAATTTGTAGTTAGTTTTTCTGTCAGTTTATAAAACACTATTCATTGCAGAGTTCATGTACTTAAATACATACAAAATCAACTCTTAGGTTTGTCACATATCTACAATATAAACTGTACCCTATGCAATGCATAACAAATATTTTATGGAATAGGATGTCATGTTCATTTGAAATTATATAAATTTTTTTCCAAATTTGAGGATATAGAAAGAGAAAAAATGCTTTTTAGAAATATTAATTATGGAAAAATAGTGAAAATTATATCCTCCAAAGATACTTCTGAAAAGCAATTATATATAAAACTCAATCTTATTGTCTAGTATATCTCATGGACATTTTTCTGAAAACTGATGTACAAAAAGATAAAAAAAAAAATACATCAATGCAATCAGAGGTCAACTTCAGTAGAGATTATAGTGTCATTTTGAATTTCATGATCTTGTTAATTTCTGCATAGTATGTGCTATGACAACACTACATACAGTTTCATCTGTTCTCCTTCAAGATCAGTTGCCAACCAGGGCTAGAGGGTAGACAGAACCCTAAAGCAAATACCCTTGGGAAAGCTATAAATTCATCCATAGCTGCTGTGGGGAAAGGTGAACTTATAGCTTTTTTAAGGGTATTTGCATGTTTTGTGATGTCAAACGAACACTCATTGCCACTTTAGTAATGTCAATGAATACTCATTATCACTTTTGTAATGCTCGCTGTAATAGAGACTTTGCAATCGCAGATGCAACTATAGTAACGCCGTTTGAACAATACTGAAGTCAGACGCCTTTGAATATCACTCACATTAATAGTACTTGCTTGATAATACTCGCTCTAAAAGTAACCACTGAATAGTGATTTGTATAGTGATCAGTATAGAGAAATAGTGCAGAAATAGTGAATAGTATTTCCTTTACCATCATGTGATCTACTTATTCAAAATGGAATCGCCTGTTTTTGCTCTTTGGTGATCCGTGTTCAAACTCTACTGTCAACAATGACATTTTATTCTTGTATAACAGCATGAAAGTCAATGTACTGAACTTGACTAATTCAAACTTGACTTACCAATTTGTTGTCCCAAGCTGCTAACCATTATACCACTTCCAAGAAAAGGAGAAGAAAATTTAACTTACATAAAAATAGTTATCCCCAGAATCTCCAACAAACAAATGATTCCATGGATGGACAAATTTTTGGTCTAATCCAATTATTCCCATAAAATCATTAAATGAAGGTTTTGTTGTATAGGCTTGCTTCCAGATACTTTCATACAAATGCATGGGTCCCCCAAGTCTCTGTCCTGGGTCCTATGCTGGTTCTGATCTTTATCAATGATCTAACATCATCAGTTACTAACTAAGTATTTATACAGATAAAACTACCATTTACTCCTGTCTGAGTCAGATGTCTTAGATTTGCTACTAAGTAAACCTGGCAGCTACTCTTGAAAAAGGACGCCAATCAGTGGTTAACTAGGGCAAGAAATAGCTTTTAAATTTTAACACCTCCAAAACATAATTGCTTTCATTTAACCACCAGAGAACCTTTTTCTGCTTGCCATCAGTATGTCTGATGATAAACTCTAGGAGAGCAACACACTACACCTTTTTGGCCTTGCATTTTCCACTGACATGAAATGACTATATCGAATCAAAAGCTTCATCTACTGCAAGGAAAGCTGGGTCACTGTGTTGTGTCAGAAAATTTTCTTTGTCAGAATTCATCTTGCATATTTTCAAATCTACCATTCGTCTTTGCATTGAATATTGTTGCCATATTAAGTTTGGTGCTCCTGTTATACGTGTCAAGATTCTCAACAAAATCTAAAGAAGTATCTGTAATCGAAACTCACCAGACATCTCAATGTCAGCCACTTTCTCACTGATATGATGTGGCTTCACTCTCTCTTTTCTACAAATAATTTCATAGCAACTGCTCTGATGAGCTTTTCTCCCTGGTGCCATGGCTACATGAATTTAAGCATGTTACTAGATTGGAAAATAGGTCCCACCCTTTTACTGTTGAAGCATCTAAATGCAATTGCAACTTCTACTCCAATAGTTTCTTTTCTCACACTTCACACTTGTGGAACTCTCTTCTGTTTCCTTGCTTCCATGATAACTAGAATCTTCAAAAATTTAAACACAACATCAATTGCCATCTTCTGTCTTCTTGAACCCCATTCATCTTTTGTTCTTTTTTCAATTCTCCTTATTCTTAGTCTTCTTTTTCAATTTCCCTCCCTGTAACCCCCTGCGTACTAGTGGTATTAACATCTTCCCTGGGGTGTTGTTTTTTTTAAAAAAATACTAAAAACTAACATGCAAAGAAGCAAATTCACTGTGAGACATGAAGTTTGAATTAATCTTAGATTTATTTAAATCCAGTTGACTACAGTTTTCAAGCTGTTGCAATTTGGTCAATGTTAATTTTTCTGCACTCTCCTTTGAAAGGAGATAGAATATTATCAACTGTGTTAGTTTTAGCTTTTACTCAGTAAAAATTAGAATTCATATCTCATTTTTTTTAACAGGATCAAAAAGAGAATAAAAATATTTTTGAGGCTGTTCTGGGAAAGAACTTTGTAATATGGCAAGTACAAACATGCATTATAACATGCAAAGTAATGTTTCTTTCTACAGTAATAAAATTAATTTGTGAAGCCAAATATATTTATTAAATGTTATGCCATTTCAGAAGATTCAAACTACCATAAAATATTATTTTTTTCCATGTCAGTAAAGCCAGGTGTGATTATTATTCAGATTTAATATTCAGCATTAATAAGATTACTCACTTCTGCATTTTGATACAAGAGATCCGAGATGAATTTTTAAAAAATGTTGAATTTAAAATATTTAAAGAATAGAGTAATATATATTCACCTTAAACTAAACCTGTTTTGATATTCACCAAATTAAGTATAACACAAAACAAAATGGGTAGAAATGAGAGTATAAAGATTGTTGTGTCAATTGGAAAGATATTCATAAATCTGCTTTTTATTTTAGCTATACTCAAACACAAAATCCTGACAGCAGTGGGAAAGATGCAACTGCTTCAGCCCTGTGATAGGCTACAATAAAAACAAGCCTGTTTTTTAAACAGATAAAGTGTTATACACATAATCTCTAAGGAATTAATAGATTTTTACCTTTAATCAAGCATTATTTATTTCTTATTACTTTAAACGTTATATTTTAATGTATACATGTGTTTCATTAGAGGACACATTTTCTTTAATAAGATCCTCAAATACGCAGGCCTGAAGATCTACTTCTTAAACAACAAGGCATCTGCTAAAAAGATATGTATCAACTAAAACATAATATTTAAAGTAATAAGAAATAACACTGAATTAAAAAAAAAAAAATCCATTGCATACCCCTCCAATAGAAAACTGTATACCAGCCAAGTCAACCACAGAGTAGTATATGACCACATCAATAGAAATTTCCTTTCCTTGTCCATAAGAATTCACCTCCCAAATTAATAACAGAATGTCTATATTTAATAGAGGAACAATATCAGACCACAAAATCATATATGTTCAGTAAGAAGCCCAATACAGAAACATTTCAAATCTCATTAAGAGCATGACAAGGAAGAAATAAAAGCCTCAGTTTATTTAATCTTTTCCTAGACTATGCCCTGCACATATACAAGCACACATGTATATTTAAGCATTCCATATTGCTTCCCAAATTAATCTACTAATAGAAAACAGTGATCCTGTTTTCCACCACCCTGAGGCCAGTGTACTGATGATGGTGGTTGCTATGCCAATGACGTAAGTAATCATAGTTGCAATATGAATGAGCTTGAACAAAAAACAACATCCTCTACCAAGTCTATGTACTAAAATATTTGAAGATATTTCCAAAACAAAGCCTTCATCTTTTTTTTTAACTCAAAAATAACCTAACAAACTACTTTATTAGCAAAGGGTAAATGTGAGGAACAGAAATAACATTGACAAACAAAATTTCTTCAGAAAACTTTTTTGGACAGAAACCAAGTAAAGCAATTTTAGAATGCATTTTTGAGGTATGAAAATAAAAAAATAAAAAAATAACTGCAATCCTCACGGAATAAAAAAAATATTGAAATTTTAACATTTCTTCTTTAAACTTTTTTTTTACAAAAACAGGAAAAAAATTCTTATTGGCTTTTAGCCATTTAACTTCAGGAATAATTATGTGGAGGACTAGGCAAAACTGAAAATATATAACTTGTCAGAAGAAGCAGCTGATCTCAAAAGAAGAAAAAAAACAAACTATGAACAAACATGTCAAGAGAAATAATAAGAAAAATATTGTGTCGTTAATTGTGAGTTCTGAAAAATATCTCTGCAAATGTAACCAAAGAAGAAGTGGCTAGATATGTCAATTTGCTCACTTTTCATTGTGGATAAAACTAATCTCTTAAAATGTTAGAAAACCTGAAACTGTCAACCATTCACAACTCATATTACTAAAAATCACTGAAGCAACAATTAAAAAAAATTATTCTTTCATTTATTTCGATTATTCTTCAGTGGTTATGATTAATTTTCTGAAAGCAACTAATCAACTAATAACTAATCTTTATTTCTCAACATTTTAAAAGATGTGTTTATTTAAAATTTGCTATATTCATATGAGAAGAATGTTTCATATTGGAAGCACTATGGACCTAGGATTGATTCATTCATTTTCTATGGCTTATCAAACATTTACTGGTTATTTCAAGCCAGAAAATATTTTTAGATAGTAAGAATTTTTTTTTTTTTTTTTTTTGATAATAATGATTTAGTAATACAAGTCTTACTAATCAACCCATAGCTAAGGGAGAATAGATGGATTCCTAGCTTTCGCAAAGGTGTTAGTGTGTGAATATAACAAATCTAATTGGGATTGGATCACAGCTCTCTGAATAAAAATTTCCAAGCCATTATCCATTGCAGGCTTACAACACCTGGAATTTCCAAGTGGTCACCCATCTAGGTACTGACCAGGCTTGATGTTGCTTAACTTCTGTGATCACATAGGAACTGGAGTTTCCAGATGACGTGCCCGTAAGCCAATGAACATAGGCAGTGACATGCAGAGATTTGGTGATGTTTAGCAATAACTGGGGCAAACTCCTTGGTTGCATGCCCCCTAAGACCCCCAAAGTAGGGTGGGGGGCTATAGGGCCTAGTACTGAGAAATGTGAGAAAGAATGCCATTTTAAATATGTAAAAAACAGATGAAATAAACACTTTATTCAAATTAAATATAAACTAAATTTTTATTTCACTCTTTGATTGGATGCCCTGACAATATGGATGTCCAGGGTCTTTGTACCCTCTGCCCCACCCACCGTTCTGTAAGATATTTGACACAGGAATGAAAAAAATGGAAATTGATCATCAGTTTCACAGATTAATGCAATCTTTAGACCAAGCATCCCTACTATATGTATGCATATACAGTGTTGTATATATATATATATATATATATATATATATATATATATAGGGTGCAATGGCTAAATTTATACCATTTTATATTTTTAATTTCATGCACTGTTTGTTTTCAGTTTTGTCAACTACACAGTACAGTAAGGTCAATTGGGCACTGTGAGAAAAAGAGCACCATGATGCAATTCACTCCACTAGAAATTTGGAAACAGCATGCTGTACTACTTGGCATTCACATCAGATACTCCAATACAAACATTTCAGTGTGTTTGGATGTCAATCTGAGGAGAGTACAGAGGTTTCAGAAAGAGTTGGATTAATCTAATGGTGATTACAATGGTACAGTAGCTCAGAAAACTTACTCTGATCATTCTGATAAGAAAAGAATTCCTGAATTTGTTGGTGAGGGCCTTGCACTCAACACAGAGGCCTACATTGTGCCTTGAGGAGGTAGTCCTACCCTGGATGAAGAGGGTGGTCACTGGAAGACCTTATATCTGGCAATAAGACTCTGCACCATGTCACATAAGCAGGAGAACCCAGTCATGGCTGTCAGACAATTTTTGGGAAAACATCACCCCTTACATCTGCCCACCTAATTCCACAGACCTTTGATTATTATGTATGGGTTGCAGTTGTGCGAGAGAGCAACAATAAATGAAAGATGAACTGAAGGCAAGGTTTATAGCAGCTTTCATCAACTTAAACAAGGAGACCGTCCAGAAGAGGTGCAGGAGATTCCAAAGTTGTCTGGAGCCTGTGGTTGAAGCCAATGGCGATTTTATTGAATAAATTTACTCTTTAGCATTTCAAGTCATTTTTATGTAATTTTGGTAAATATGTCTGTTAAAATGATATGTCAGATTTATTTTCATTTTTGTGTAATTTAGACGACAATTTATCCATCGCACCCTGTAGATTACTTAGGGATTAGGAGAAGTAGAGGAAGAGGAAGCCAGCCCTTCTTAATTTCTATTATTTAAGGCTAATGACGAGGGTTATTTATGTTTGTATATTTTACTAGTTTATGCATACATATGCATATATGTCAAACATTACAACACATGTCCAGGCTATCATTAGATTTTCAAATGTGAGTTTCTAAATATGTTTTCTAATTATTTTTTTTTTATTATGCTCTTTCACAGAATCTTTTCATTTCTTGGCTTTGTAATTTTCTTGGAAAACAAATCTAGTGTCGCTGACAAAACTAACCTGGCAGCTCATCTTGAAATGGACCTCCAACTGGTTGTTAATTGGGGCAAGAATTGGCTGGTCAACTTTAATGCCTCAAAAACTAAACTACTCTTTATTAATCACCATAGAGATCCTGCCCTGCCCCCCATTAGAATGTCTGATAGTCAACTTCTTGAGAGCAACTCTCTGTATCTGCTTGGTCTCACGTTGACTGCTGACCTGAGATGGAACAAATACATTGAGTCAATTGCTTCTTCCACCGCGAGGAAAGTTGGCTCTCTGTGCTGCGCCAGGAAATTTTTCTCTCCGGAATCAATACTTCGAATATACAAATCAACCATTCGCCCTTGCATGGAGTATTGCTGCCATATATGGTCTGGTGCACCTTCTGTTTACCTCGGAGTTCTTGACAAGATCCAGAGGCGGATATGTAATATAATTGGCCCTGATCTGGCATCTCGTCTACAGTCACTCTCTCATAGATGTGCCGTCACCTCTCTCTGTCTTTTCTACAAATACTTTCATGGTAATTGCTCCGATAAGCTGCTTTCACTGGTTCCCAGACTCCATGAATTCAAGCGCCCCACGAGGCTGGCATCCTGCTCTCACCCTTTCATTGTAGAAACTTTTAAATGTAGCCATCTCTTCTACTCCAATAGCTTCATACCTCGCACCTCTCGCCTGTGGAACACCCTACCCTATTACTGTTTCCCTTAGAGGTATAATCTCCAACTATTCAAATGCAATGTCAATCGACATCTCCAGATACCTTGATCTACCCACTGTCCCTCTCCTCACCCTTTCTTCTATCACTCCTATCTGCTCTCGCTCCAAATCTTCTGCAACCCCCTGCATCCTAGTGGCTTCATGCCTTGCTTGGGGTGTAATGCTTAGAAAAAAAAAAAAAAAAAAACTGTCTATTATATTAAAGACAGCCATTTGACATCGCTGGTGCAAGGGAGATAACTCTAGAATAAATATTACAAAATATTAGATATTACAGAGAAAAATCTATAAAGACACTTGACAGTTTATATATTATTTGTGTGTGTGTGTGTGTGTGTGTGTGTGCATAATTCCTGCCACAAAATATTCAGATTTCATTTATATATAAATATATATTTCAAGTGGCAATATGTAGCATCCTGATTTCACTCAAAGAATTCATTTAATAAGCAAATATGATTACTTTAAACAGACTGTATATATAAGAATTTAAACTTTGACAAAATAACAAAAACGAACCATAGTTAAAATAATGCTATGAATTTATAAAGAAAATTTATCAGTAAAATAATTTTGAAAAATATGTAGATAAAGATCAAAAAATTTGTTCAATACATTCACACGTATTTATTGATTTGAAACATTTTAATCAAGAAGCCATCAATAGCCAAATTAAAGGTAACATCAAAATATAAAATTATTGAGCTGTTGCAAAAGTTTCCAGCATTTTAATTTCTTTTATTTTTCTTGTGACAATTATTCAGTCAGTAAAATATTTCCCTGGTTTTATATGCCATTAACTATGTAAATTTTGTATTCTGTTGTGAAATACTTTTCATTCAAAGATTTCTTTTCAATATCTCAAACTAAGTGTAACTGTTGACTAAACAAAGAATTATGAAATGGACAAAGTCCGACAATTATTTTAAGACATTTTTATGTTTATACATTCTTTTTATAGATACAAATATTTAATTATATTATGGGAACCAGTAATAAGGAGTGACAGAGAAAAGCAATGGTAACAACAAAGTTGCAATATGAGCTCTGGTAAAAATATGGAATGATAACAGCAAAATTGCAATATGAACACTGGTAAAAATGGTGGATGAAGACATTAGGTTTATAATACCCAGAAATTCATACCCATATTCTATTCCAAGGACACATGGCACAGTGGATAAAGGCGTTGGTTAGATCCAGTGACAGGAACCAAGTTCAATAGTGTGAGTTCAATACCCGGTTAAGGTAGTGGAGAACTTTCAGAGGGAAATTAACAGGAGATAACTGACATCCATCCATGAACAGTGAGCGAAATAAAGGGTTCAGTTCGACATTCCAACCACCTGAAGGAAGCTGGAGTGTACGTTATTATGTTGTCATGAAACATTGTAATAAATATGGCGACAAAGATGAGGACATTAGTCCGAATAATGAAAATAATGTACATAATACCTCAGATACAATAATGTACATAATATAGACAGATACAAATATTTAAGTAAATGCTCTGTTTATAATAAACAGAGCATTTACTTAAATATTTGTATCAATAAAAAGAATGTATAAAATAAATGTCTTAAAATAAACAAAGAATGCTTTCTGGTATGAAACAAAGAATAGTCTAAAAGAGAAAAGTCTGGAGAATGTTAAAGAACTTTTCATCCTATTTCCAGGATAGTATGCAAAGACTCATTTGCAACATGAAGACAGGTGTTGTCATGCAGCAAAATAATTTTTTGTCCAGATAAAAAGATATATTCTATTCCAAGGAGTAATTAAAATATCATATGTACATGTGTATAAGCTGACTTAATGTATAGTGCAACCCCTGGATATTTTTGCATAAATTTTAACCCCTCCAGAAAAAAATTACCTGTGTATCACAAAATGAGAAACCAGTGCAGACACCACAACCAGAAGTACCTTGGAGTGCCTTGTGGAATATGGAAAGTGCTGTCTTTTACGAGCAAATGGAACATAGAAGATATTTGTTGCCAGCAACTTGATTAGATAAAGGAAGCATTATGTCAAATGTGACTTTCAAAAGAGAAAAGGTGTCATTCTCCAGCATAACAATGCAAGGGCACACCCTGCAAAACAAATCCAAGAAAAAAAATAGGGTAGGTAAAACTAAAGGTTCTCTCACAACCTTCATACTTTCCAGATTTAGGACCAGCAGATTTTCATTTGTTTCAATCATTAGAACACCTGATAAGTGACAGAATATTCAAAAACAAAGGTGTCAATGATCTTTCAAACTGAGAAAATCTCAGATTTCATTAAACATGGAATCAGGATTTTACCTTCATGTTGGGCTGCAGTCATCAAAAATAAAGATGATTATATTTTTGATAATATTTAAATAAATCTTTCTGGTAAAATGCAATTACTTTCGAAACAACCCAAATACTTTAATTATCAATGTCAATGATAAATTAACCAGAGAATTTATTGATTCAAATATTGCAAAAGAAAGAAAATTTGGGAGAAAAGATCAGAGAAATAAACTTAACAAATGCCATGATTTGTAACAATTCCAGTACAGACACAAATTAAAACCAAACTGTAGAGTGGATTAAATGCAGTAAAAAAAACAATCAAGGAATTAGAATGATTTAACATTGCCTATTTTGTCATGAATTGTTTTGGCATAAAGAAAAACATTCCAATCTTTTAAA